AAAACTGTTTATTTTTTAACGACTGTTGTTTCTATTTACACAAACTGTTTGTTCTTTTAAAATTTTCGTTTGTCTATTTTCGTGAAGAAAAAGCAAAGTTTCCTGACTATATAATATTTAACAACACTTGAATTACTGATCTTTCGTTCTTCCTACGTACACAGTGTGATCGCAATGTTTTTTTACTTAAAACACTTATAAATCAGCTTGAATAAAAAATGTTTTTTGACTTGACTTCCTGCTGTAACAAAATACAAAGTCAAAAATGTTCTTGAAAACAGTAAACAAATTTCATTTAAAGAATGTCACTAATTTACCAATATTGTTCTCAAATTTCACTATTCATGTAATATTATTCCTTAACGAATTATGCAAACTTTTTGCACAAAATATCAAACCGTATTTTTCTCTATTCACGATGTGAAAGTTAGTTTTTTTACGTTTAGAAAGAGCAAAGCCTCAGCTTCAAAAATAGGTATAAATTTAGAATTTTTAGAGTTCAGGTAAAAAATAACGAAGAGCAAAAATCGCTCTGAACTCATCTTGCAATTTGCCACATCTGTCATATTTCAGTTCCATTTTTCTAATGGGAATCTAAAAGTGAAAATGCAACTTGTACACAATCAAATTAGTTTTTTATGCTATTTCTAATGATATAGAAGACATTTTCTTCCAAAGACTCTGGTTCAAGAATCGTTAGCTATTCAGAAACTTGAGCAACTAACCTTAATTGGTTAATTGCGATTAAAAGAAAACTACTTCTTATTTGTCAGACTCATGTCCTGGTTGATGTCGTGTCATGGTTTTTGAAGTCAACATATTTTCAAACGACTTTTCTCACCACTAAAAATAATGTTCTGATTGTTAAAAGAACCCATTACAATATACGTTTTTCATACACATTTTGTTGTATTTGATTTCTGAAACAAGATTTATTCTAGTCTCATAACCATATAAAACAGTATTTTTTATGCTGCGAGTAGGCCTGTAAAAATTCACGTTTCGTTTCTTGAACGTGAACGCACGTTGGCGTTCCTTGCACCTGAACGTTAAAGCACTGGTGAACGTGTGCTTTTTTTATACGAACGGTCTTCATATTGTCTGACGTAAATATAAAATTCTGTTTTTGTAGTGTAGAGAGAACATATATTTCTACTTGGCCTTATCTAATCAACAGAAACTCTAGTGAACGATCAGATGGTCTGCTCAGGGCAGTGATCAGATTATTGCAATAGAAAAAGGATAGCCATGGGTTCTCTGATCAAGACATTGATTCTTTCAAGAACAGATCGCAGATTTCCTGACCAGAAGACTAGTTTTTCCTGCAGTGGAACCCAAATTCCTTGGTCCAAACCATTTCAGTAACTACATACGTTTTCCTTTGTTATCGTAACGTCATGTTTAGCGTTCACGTTCAAGGAACGCCAAGGTGTTTTAGCGTTACGTTGAAAGAGAACGCTAAAAAGGAATGCTGAACTTTTGCTGGCCTAGTTGCAAGCTGATTGCTTAAATTTAGTAAAATAATTAACTCTCTCATAGATCGTGAATATAGAGAATGAAATCATTCGCAAATCACTCAGTCATGCTTTGGAGTGACAGAGAATTTGGCTAAAACAAACACAGACAGCAGTGTCCCATCAACCAAATGTTGCATAGGGAATGATCGTTATAATCTAAGTACTTTTCATAGAAATATCTGCTTGATATTTTGTGCAAAAAGTTTTTTTATAACCCGTCAGTGTGACTTTTTTCATGGATAAACTTTTTAGGTGGTGTTTTTTTTAAATTTGATGGCAAGTTTCTCAGAGTGAAGATTAGTTACAGTTCTCAGAATTCCAAACCATGTGTACCGAAACGTTGAATCAGAGCATCCTATACTATTCAACAATACACTATCAAACATCCATTTATACATTGTTATCATCGATGGTGACTATCGTTTGCACATTTTCATCATTGTAGAATGATGAGAATCAATTGTTACACTACAGTTTTGATGTTTAATATATTTATTTTAAACAAATAATACATAAATTTTGTTTTTGAAGAACAGCATTCTCGTTTCATCATCAATATCTTACTGCTAATTTTACTAAATGCCCTCAAAATGAGATACAAAATAAACAGAAAAAGATAGAAAGATTGCACTTATGAGAAAAACATAATTTTTACGTCAAAGAAAAATATATAACCAAAACCAACATAATCTTCACAATACACAAAACAAAATGGAATGAATACAAAAAGCGGATACATTTACGGAAAATATTTTCAGTTTTAAAAACAAATAACTGCGACGATAGAAAATATGGAATGTTTTCTAAGAAGAAACATGCTACTAACTAGATTTCATTCAATAAAATAACTCTGAGATAAGCCATGAGATTACAAACAATAATAAAATTTGAGTTTACTTTCAAGAATTTAAATACAAACATTGACTAAATTGGATATACGAGAGATTTTTGACTAGAACAACTTTATACTACGTTATTGTTTATTGCTTAATGCTCCAATCGTATATTCTCTGACTAAAGACAAAAAGATAAATAATTTTACACTTAAGACTCGAAGATGTTTCATTATTTCGCCTTATCAAGTTACAAGTTAAAATAACGTAAGAATTAAATTACACCGTCGATTGATTACTTCTATTTCAGGTGATATTTGTTAGTACGACTTACATAAATACTAAAAAAATAGAGTGTACTCGCAGGTACATTTCTAGTTGTGTTAATTATAATAGCCTCTGTAGTGTTTGATACCAGTATAGGCATAACTCCTCTTTGGAAAACATAATTTTTTTAAGTCATAAGTTCTGAGGACTCACCGTCTTTTATATGCTTGTCAACTACCGACTGATGTTTCAGAACAAATGGACGAATAAATCGATGATATAAAACGTGCGAACCTCCTTTCGGACCTGGTGCCATTAACCATACAAGAAAACAACACTAAAATAAAATATATTATATCTCATATCTCATAAGTATTCTAAACAATTAACAAAAATATTTATATATTACATACTTTTATAAACCAATAAAATGGAAGTGCATGAAAGAAATGGTGACCGAAGTATTCGAAAAAACCAAAAGTGGCATAAACCACCCAATACATGAGCCACTCGGTATCATCTTCTGTATGAGGTGATTCAATAGCCAAAACCCTGGAAACAGATAAACAATTGCACAAATATTACATTAGAATTTAAGCAGTTTCAGACAACTTACGAAGTATATGCTGGATACGCAAACCCTAGAATATTGCACAAAAAATCTGCTGCAGAACCTAATACAAGGTAGACACAAATGACGCCAAGAAATGCTAAAATAATGTACAAATTAGTAAAATTCGTTGAATCATTTTTTTGTTATTGATATTTTCTTACCTAAAGCAATCTGTTCGCGTTTAAATTTGGTTTTTTGTTCGACTATACTCAAATAGGGAGATATGGCACCTTCATATAGAAAAGGCTTTAATTTTGTTTCTAATTTGCGTATATTCTCTTGTATTATAGCTGCCATATTTTCTTATCTGCAGTACGAACAGTAAGAATATTATACTGAAAAGAGAAGAAAAATGAAAAATCGCTGTTGTATACATATGGTGCTGGCCCGTGTGATAAAATAACTATGAAGAGGAGACAATATTAAATCCGAAATCTTATGACTCGTAAAAAATGCATCCATATTGGATTTTGTCCTCTTACTGTCATTAGAAATCAATCATTATTGCTACTCTTTTTCGCACAGCCAATTTTTTAGATCTCTTCTTTTTTGTTGCCATGAACTCTGCAATTCAAAGAAGTATTTCACAAAAATCTCAAATCTTCTTAAGTTAAGACAAAACTAAATTATTTGACTGGCATTTCTATTAATTTAAGAGGTATATCAAGCTGTTAGTCACCTAACTTTGGTTATAACTGAATTAGATTTTTTTTATAAGTCGAAAAGTTCAAAAAGTATGTTGAGAAAACATTTGAGTTTGTCGTATAGTTTAAGAATTAAGTTAGACATCTAACTTAATTTTTAGACTAGATTATGAAACACGTCCCAGCTTGTCGCACAGAAAGTAATAGAATTCCATATGGTGCGAGATACTTGAACTCATTCTCTACTCATTTTACATGAATAAATAATCATAAGTTGAGTATGATTATACATGTTTATATTTTTTTCTAATATAAACCGAAAAATTGAATACGATCAGAATTGGTGACTTTTCTTATCCAATCAAACATGGCCAACGTTTGCATTATCAACTTGAAAATTGGCATTCTTTTATTCTTCTAACAAATCAGCTCGGATAGCCTTAAATTTCTCAAAATATGTGTTATCTAGCAGAAAATCTTTAATATGTTTAACCTTGTTCAACTAATTTTCTCATTAACATATTAGTAGTACAGTGCTGAATCAAATATCCGCACGCGTCTGAAAACCACGGAACAGTTGCGTTAATTTAATAAGCATCCATGTATTGTATAATCTGAGTTGTAAAACTTAATAGTATTGATTTCGTCATCTTCGCAGAGCTATCATTTTTTAAACTGCTTTTAATACATCTTTGGAATAGATGACGTAAGTTATGAAAAGTTTCTTTTGCAAATTTTTTGACAGATTCAAGGCTGTTTTAAATGGCATTCTTCGCTATTAATGTGCTTGTATTAAAGATGGAATGATCACCTGTTTAGATCTCTGCTATCAAATGAAGTCTAAAAAATTAGTATACAATGTTTTTGTTTAACCTTACTTTAGAAACTATGATTTACACAGTACCACATCATATTCTTCTATATCACTCGTTGGTATTGTTGACTGATCATGCAAAGCGCATTCAGAATGTATCAAAACTAGTTCAAGTTGTTCTACTGTCTGCCTCAGTTTAGTTTTAGCATCATGATTGATCTGTTGAACTAGTTCTCTTGGAAAGTGGCCATTATTCCTCTTTTATTATAATAGTTTTTTTCTGTTGCTTGCAGATAACTATAATTATCAGATATGAATCCTAGAATGCGCTGCATTGCCATTTTCAGTCTGTTAGTATTGAATATTTCATTTACATCCGGTAATAAGGAGCATGATCATTCTGAGCACGATCGTCATCACTCACACGATCATTCTGAGCATGATCATGAGTCACATCGAAAACTGTTTACAGGTAAGAAAAAAGTTTGTTCAGCTTGATTCATTGTTAAATATATCCATTTACCTAGACAATTCGTATGATGGTACTGAAGATGGCCAAAAGGAAAAATTACGTTCAATTGCGTCCGTAATTGATGCAAACAATGATCAACAAGTTTCAAAAGATGAAATGAGAAAATATGTTGAAGAACGAATCCGGTACTTGTTTATTTTTTAGAATAGTGACCGTAGTTATTTCGTATTGTGTGTTTTTTCTTTTGTTTATAGAGATCAGCAACATCGAGAATTTCAAGATTTGGCATCTACTTTAGACCCGAATAATGAAGGAAAAGTTACATTTAGCGCATTTATTCGTGATAATTATGGTGATGAAGATATGAGTCAGTTCGAAAAAATGGAAAATACAGATTTAAGATCAAGGGAAACACGACGAGTAAGAACCGTGGATTTTTCTTATTTTGATAGTTAGGTATAGGTTTCAAATTTCAATTTTTTGCTTATGGGAGACGACACATCAGCGCATCTCTCTGAACCCTGAGTATTATACATATGGTTGAAAGGATAGTGCTACGATATCCAATCATGTCTAATGTGTATACTTATTGACTGTGTATGTCATACTATTAAAAAGTACAACATAATCTTACTGATTATTTCAGCATATGAAAGTGAGATTATTCAATTAGCTTTTTATGTTGTTTAAAAATATCGTTTTTTAAAGATTTTTTTTATTGTTTTCTCCTTATGCAATGATTCACTGAAACAAAAACGTGATGAAGTTCTTTTTACGTTTTTTTTGTAACTAGCTGATATAATTTTTCTTGCTCAGAATGAGCAAGTACACTCGAACTGGAATTTAATCGAGGATTAATCAAATGCGTTTCTAAGCGTCTATTTTCAAACAGTAATATTTGTATGAACATTGCTGAGCCATTATATTCACTCCTATTGCTACTCAGATTTCTTACTAATTACATTTGTCGCATTACTAAAATAAAGAATTTTGAATGTTGATTGTTAGAGTTTGCTGCAGTTAGCTTTGAATCCATGTTACTTGCATACATTCTCGTACAATATATTTATTAATTCTTTTTAAGACGTACATGGCTGATAAGGATAAATGGCAATTTCTTGATAAGGACGGTGATCAATCATTAACGTATGATGAATATTTTAAATTTACTCGACCAGAAGATAATGAAGATTTGCGTCGTATGGAGATAAATAGTATGATCAAAGAATATGATACAGATAATGATGGTCGAGTTTCAAACGAAGAGTATGGAAAAATGACAGAAGCTGAATCGGGTCAGGCTGAATCGTTATCAGATGAATTAGACGCAAATCACGATGGTTTTGCTGATTATGAAGAATTTGCTCGATATTATCTACCAACATCGAGTATTACAATGGATGAGGAAACGGATCATTTAATGAAAGAGTGTGATACAGATAAAAATGGTTATTGTTCGGCTGATGAAATTGTAAACGCTTATACATCATTTGCCGGTAGCCAAGTCACTGATTTTGGTGCGGATCTCGAAGATGGTCATACTGAGTTGTAAATAAACAAACAAAAAGCATTTTTATGTTACTCTGTTTCTATGTTTTCTGTTAATTGTTTGTGTGTTCGTTTGTCTTTTACAAAGGAGAAAACGATGTTCTTTTATTGAAATATATCGGTTTGTTTTTTTCACAAAATTACCTCTAGTTGTTTTTGCTTTTCTGATGAAATACGAATAAAAAAAAGCATTTTTGGTATCGTTTTTTATGACAATCTCGTTTTACATTTGTTTGCTGTTCTTTTTTTATTTTGTTATCCGCGTTCATAATAATTGTTAAAATATAAATATTAGATTAAAGATAGGCAAACTTTTGTGCATTTTTATCTGTAAAAATGGCTGAAATACGTAAAATGGAGGTTTTCTTACGCAGAACAAATAAGTCTAGGATAAGAAGATCTTCTATGTGGGAAATATAAACGAGAAAACTGACTGACTGAGACAGTTGAACCGTTCGGTATTTCAACGAAAGCAGTTGCGCAGTATTCTTCTCTTTTCAACATCAAAACAAGGTACTTGCTTCATGATAATGTTCCAGGCATAATCGAAAGAGTGCAAGATATTAGCGTGTCTGAGAACTGTGAAACTAGTGACTTTTCTAAAAGATTATAAGTGGATCTTTTTATTCATTCATCTAGTTATACATTAATGTTTATGATTTTATCATTTTTTTTTTAATCGGATTGAATTTTGTCATATCTTTATATTCCCATATTTGGATTGAATCAAGTTGAATGATGAAGGGAAATTGAATTCTTTTCTGATTATTATCAATAATTTCATGCAAAATGAATTCTGTTTCCTTATTTATATCTCTGTATCGATAGACCAGTGTCAGATAAAATCATGATAGATCATGATCTTCTAATGTAGAACCGAAAGTTTTTTTTCCATTCAGGTACAATTGATGATTCAACAATTTCTTGAAAAATCATCATTGTCAACTTGAACATGTAATAACAGAACTTTTTCACATTTCAATTTAGTGACGATACATTCTGTATGTGTCATCATTGATTGTAATTTGATTTTTTGATTTCTTAATATACCTTCATGTTTTTCTTTTTAAACATTGTTCAATGGATGGATTGTAACATGATAACTTGTTAGTGGTAGAAACGAATAATAATTTCTCAGTTCACTGGTAGATAAATAATCATGTAGTTTCGATCGTTGTTCTGGGAATGGTTGTAGAACATGAGAAATAATGAGAAATTCTTCAAATCAAACGTAATTACCTTCGATGTCACTATTCTTGCTACATAGTGGAATCGTTTTCTCCAACGTTGGAAAGTTGCTGTTATTTGATTTCAAATTGGACATTTCTTTAGTATAGATTGTAAGAATTTTTGAACAATTGCTTGTGATCAGCGTTTATTTGGTGTGAATGTGTTTCTACCATATCTACTTAGATATCATTACGAGGAATTTTTGAAGGATAAGAGAAAGATTTATTATTTTTCTTTCATTTTGATCTAGACTTTATAAAAAAGTTCTGAAAATATAGTGAATTTCATGATCTCTTGTCTGTAAAACTAAACCAATGTCTTCAACCTATTTCATTAATTGTCTACATTTTTGTTTTAGATGGTGAGCAAAAGAAATGTTAAAAAACAAAAATTCTTTTGAAACTTTTAATATTCTTTATTTTTAGTTGCCACTAACGTTACTTCGTACGGCTGTTTATCATCCAATGGTCTGCATCTTTTCGTCTAAAATATTTACTCCTACAATCTTTGCTAATTATTTTTTGTTTAGTTAGTCGAATTAAAAAATGGTGAAACTTACAATGGACATTTACAAAGTTGTGATAATTTTATGAATATTCATCTCCGAGACGTTATTTGTACATCCCGTGTAAATTAACTGTTATTATGAAAAATTTTCTCTTATAATTATTGTTATCATTTTGTTTTCAGGATGGTGATCGATTTTGGAAGATTCCTGAATGTTATGTACGTGGAAATACAATCAAATATTTAAGATTACCAGAAGAAGTGATCAATATGGTTAAAGAAGATTCGGTCGAAAAACAAAATAAAGGTTCAAGAGGCAATGAGAGAGGTGGTCGAGGTGGATCGCAACAAAGAGGAGGTGGTGGTGGCGGTCGAGGAAGAGGTACAAATTCATTTCTATTCTACTTATTATTTCCTATAATACTAAATGTTATTCTTTTGTTTAATTTTAGGCGGTGGACGAGGAGGAAGTTTTGCAGGACGAGGTAAGTTATCTAATTAAATTATCATCCATATATTTTATTCTCATTCATTTATAGGTGGTGGCGGACGAGGTGGACATCGAAATTCATCAAATCGTGGTGGTGTATTTAATCGTTAATGTAACTAGTCCAGTTTTGTTTGATATTTTTTTCTTGTGCTTTGTATAAAGGTCTAATGTTTTGTGTATGTCGAGTTTGTTCCTGCGTTTCTACGACCTTTCTAAAGTTATGCGTGTGTTTTTTTTCCATGAAAATGTAAATGTATAGACTTAAAAGTCGGATCATTATTTTTCAACTAACTGGAGTTTTTGCTTAAGAATTAAAGTCTAATAATCTACAACAGAAGAGAACACTACTCATTCAAAGAAATACCCAGAATATTTCTTTTAATTAGTTTTCTTTGTAGATGACATAAGATCGTATAGATTTTGCAACTGACATTTTGCTGAAGAAAAGCCACTGTTTCTTTCTGATTAAAAAAGTCTAAACACTGTAAAATATTGACATTTCTTTTGAAACAAAAATATCACCTGCCCGATCTCTATGTCTCTCTGTTTGTCATCTTTTAGTGAAATTGTGAATTATTGCTTGTGTCAGTTGATAAGTGATAAAATGCTATCTAATGTTTTTTTTCTCGTCTTTTATCATTATGTGGCAACATTGATCCCTTCTATTTGACTAGATAATGAGATCATGTCACTGGGACCAACGTGCAACATCCCATTCGTTTTTTCATCATCTCAATATCGAATACTAAGCAACATATGCTTTGCAATAGATAATTCATATAGATTAATTAATAATACATTTAGTAATTTGTTACTGCTCAATTCTGAACAATGATCACAAGAAATACCGACAAATGTAATTGCCTAGTGGTACGACTAAAACTAACTACTGAAAACATTTACTCTACTCTGTGAAATGCGTATGAGGTTAAGTGAGCAGAGAAATTATTTACAATGATTATTAAAAAAATAGTAGAATGTTATGTTAAACATCAGCAATAAGAGAACAAATGAATAAAATCATCATTAATACAGATTTACAATTAATTTAATTAAAGTATCTTGAACAAACAAAAATATTGTGATTCGTTACACATGAGTAAATGAAATCTGCTGTTTACATATTAGTTGATATTTGAAGACAATTTTTTTAAATGACACGTGAGTGGATGATTGCAAATAAGTGAAGATGGCACTGAATAATATAGTGGTTTAATGAAACAAGCATTACAGTGTGTGCACTAAGCAACCTTAAAAACAAACTGGTATAGAAAGATGATCAATGATCAATATATTTTAGATATAGCATGGTATAATTGCGAGCAAAAATTTCTAATATTAACTTCTGACAACATTTACATCCTGATAACATTGATTTTGATAAAAATAATTTTTGAAGTACACGATTAATATATGGTGTGTAATCATTCCCAGAAGGTTTTCGATATATGAAAAGTAAAATATCTTTCAATAAAAGTTCGAGCAAAATTTCTTTATGAATGCATCATTCCAAACGTCTACATATGTTTTCTATTACCGTAATAAATGTCCCATAGTGGATGTTGAATCTAAGACAAAAACTAGTTGTTGCTGAATATATCCATAGTTGGACATATTTAGCTTGTGACTCTCAGATGAAAATCTGGATGATTGCAGATCAACAATAATTTAAATTATTTAATAGTATAAAGTAAAAGTTCATCACTATTTCTAACTGAGCTGAAAAAATGAACCGACACAAATAGAAGTCTCTTTGAGTGCGACTGTAAACGTAGAAACAGCATTACTTATCTCGAAACGATATCACACAGCAAAGTTTGCCTAAAAGCATCATTCTACTAGTTTATGTCCCTGATGTACTTTTTATGTTGAGTATATTTTATTTTTATCTTTACTGTCAATAATAAAAAAAACTAAACCTACTTCACATGTTTTGAGTTATAGAAAAGTGAAACTTCTCTGTTCAATGTAAAAATCTTTTCTTTATCAGTCACATGAAAAAGAAAAGAAATATCTGAGAAACAAGTACTAATAATCACACAACGAAAAGAAAAAATATCTTACATTTTTATTCTTGAACAACAGCGAAAAAATAGCATCAATACTTTTCCTACATGTAGACTAATATTATAACGTTATTTACAAAATGAGCAACAAAAAAAGGAGATCATTCAAAAAAAAACTGATCACATGATAGCTTTTTCTAGATCAAAAATAACTCCAAAAACACCGTTATCACAATTAAATTAACATTTCCTAATTCAATAAACTTAACTTTTATCTATGAATGTTTGGACAAAAAATGATTTTTAAATGAAAACCATATCTTGGTTTTTCGATTATAATCAAGTAAATCGATAATATCTGGTTCATAAATAATTCTTGAATAAAGTATTTTTTTCATGCTTAGTTGTTTAAATTCATGAAAATCATCGGATGTCCAATCAATTTTTTTAGTCAATGGTAAATTCAAATGAACTAGAGATAGAAAGAGTAACATATATTATTAATTTGAACGAATGATGCTGGATAAACGTGATCAACGACGAATTGATATTAAAAATGGCTCACCCAAATGTGCTTGAAAAGGTTGTACTGTATATCGATGATTAATTTGACGTATCATTTGTACTGGTACAGATCTGGTAAAACCATGATCAACAAAAAATACCTAAAAGAATAATTTAGTCAAAATAATATTTGAATAAAAATCAAATTGAACAATTAAACAAACATCAGCAAACTGAATATTTGGTTTAAATTGTAGATATCGTCCTCGATGCCATTCAGATTGATATTTGACAGCCACTATTTGACCTTGGTTAAACATATCCGGATTAACTAAACGTTTGTGTTTATTATAACATTCTCTAAATTAAAAATTCAATAACAAATCAGCTAACACCAAAAAATAAAGTCTAATTACGTCATATCACGTGTCATTTCATTTAATATCACATTTTTTTCCAGTTTTTCTTTTGATAATATAGCTAAAGAATAAGAGATTAAAATTCATATTTACATGAACTGATCATTCGAAGTTACAAACGTACGTATCTCAGAATTGCCAAGATTGAAACCAGGACCATAAACATAACGTATATAGAATCGTGCGGGTGTTTCGATATGAGCTATTTCGACTATAAATATAAAATACCAAGATGAATAGATAATGATAGTTCAATATAATTTTAAAAATACCTGGTATCCACGCTTTTGCTAATGGTGGAAATGATGTTAATGTTGTACTAACAAAAACTTCTTTTTTTGTTTGATGAAGAATTTCTTCTTAAATGACAATGAGTCATACTATCTTTTTAAAATAAATCAAAAGAACTTTTGTATGTTTAAAATCCTACCACTTATTTTTGTAGTACTGATTTCGTCTTCATCAATTGTATTCTGTTTTTCAATAACATCTTCATTATCATCTATATCGTCGATGAATTTTGCATTATCATCTCGGTTTCTCGTATCAACATTAATAAATATGCGTGCTAAATCTACATTTGTTGTTTCTATTCGTTCATCGATTGATGCCGTATATTTATTGTTCTGTTTTAAACTAGTTTCATCATCATTATCATTTTCCTGATCAATGTTGACAGCATTATTCAATTCATTTTGTTTTACTCCTAAATCTAAAGAAGAAAGCGCATTTGGTAATTCCACTTCTTCATCTTGTTGTTGTTCATCGACGACAGGAACTGAAATAAAAAATTTAATGAATTCTATGTATTAAAATTAAATTTAAATCCAAGAGAAAAATTTCGCAAAATATTGAATAGATAAGCGAGAAATAAACAAAAAAATAAAACATTCTACGAATGTGCCTTTTCAACTCAGTTAGCAAGAAAAGAACAAAACAAGCCATCTGTGGTCAACGGTAAATTCTGCAAAATTCTTGCTTAAAACGCATATGTAAAGTTCTCATCTGTTTTTTCAAAATAAATGTCATTTTCCAGCTTGTAAAAGCAGCACGTATAAAATGTGTGTTGTTGTTTTTTCTTCAAAATTTTTAAGATTGAAATGATGTCTCGCTTCTTGAAAAAACAAAAGACTTTAAAGTATACCATTGAGACGAGATAGAGATATGGAATTGAAAACATGTAATATGTAAAAAATCGCCTGGCTTAGACTTTCCACGACTACTGTACATTCCACTAGCAAGAAAATCGTTTGTTTGTATTTTTCTTTCTTACCTGAATAGTAAGACACATTCGCTTATGAAACCAACCAGTTCAATATACAATGAAAATTGTTTGCTATCTACATACATCTCGTAAACAAATGATAAAAAATAGCATAAGAATGAGAGAGTGTACCATTTATGAAATCATCAACAATATTAACATTTATGAAAATTTTCTTTCAAAATAAACTTGTTCTTATTAATTTGATGCAACAGAGTTGTATGTCTGATAAGCCATGTCTGTACTCTAAATACCAAAATTCACTAACAATTGTTTGTAAACTCTTTCTACTCTTGTTTTATTTTCATACAAAATTTAAAAGTAGTTCAACAAGAGACGAAGCAATATACACATACACACAATCCAACACATATATACAAACTAATAAACTCTCACTTTTCAGAAAAAGACTACAACATGACAAAAAAATGATAATCATATGTTCTCACAAAAATATGACAACGAGAACAAAAATAATAATATCTCAGGTTGGGATAAAAAACTAGAAAAAAAAAGAAAAACACCAAAACTAACAAAAAGAGTTCACATATAGATAAACATATCTTGCCAGTAGGAAAAAGAAAAAGAATCATCTTATAAAAAAGTGAAAAAAGAAATCCAAATTAAAATGTCAGCACACCTGCCACAGTGCTATGCACCAAAATTCGTTTTATTAAATAACTTATTATAGATAGCATTGTTTGTTATGACAAACTTCAAAAAAACCGATAAACAAAATCATCTTCATGTTCTTTTAGAACAACACAGTTAATTACGACTTACAAAAGGCAAATCTTTAGTTATTTTATCAAGAATCATATTCATATTACCTAAATCGGATGATGATGATGATGAGAGGGGTGTAACTTGAATGGGAAAATTAAGCTCGTGCATTTCATCATTATTATACAATATATACTGTTCGATTCGAATTTTACTGGCCCAATAAACGGATATATCTTCGTTTGTAACACGTCGTGCAATTTTACAGCTATCTAATATAGATGCCAAATCCTATAAAGAATACACAAACTTACTTAATCTTACATGACAGGTATAAAGATTCCCCAATAGAAAACGTTGTAGAAAGCCGAATAAAAGAACAACAGAAGAACTTGAGCAACAGGTACAGTTCAAAATCGGAATAATGATCTTTTAGAGACTTCACTTACTTGTCCATTACTAAGACGTATTCGAACAAAATGCATAGGCCACCGCTCTGTTGTATCAACAACTGTTGCTTCAACACGTTGTTGAAAGCAATGTGTTGAAAATGCATATGTTGCTCGACGACTCCATCCTTCTGAACCAATAGTCGGTAATATCTAGAAATTAGAAAAAATAAAATTTAATGAGACAAATAGATTTCAGTTATTTTCCTTTTGTTAATCAGTTTATGAGATTCTAGACTATATCAACAAAATAAATATAAAGCATACCTCAGCAACTGTACAAGCGATCGCCATTGCTGGCATTTTTGAAAATGCATAATCTAATTCACGTAGCAATTCAAGTGGTAAATCTTCGATATTACCATAATCAATGTAAAATACTTCCACTGACGTTTCTAGAAAAATACAACATGAGAAAATTGAAAAAATAAAAGATTCTTTTAGCTCACTTGAAGTATAACGAACAACACGACAACGGTACCAGTTTAAATCTTCCGTATATTTCGCAACACAAAATTCACCGACTTCTGGAAGATATCTTGGATTAATATCGATATTATTATAATATTCACTAAAATATAAAATTAAAGCCGTTTGAACAAAATTAGGAAATACAAAAGAATCTCTTACATCAGACGATCGGAAAATAATTTGAATTCTCCTTGATCGAGTATTTGAATAAAAAAATACGATGGATTCGACGCAACAACAACAGTGCCTTTAATTATTGTATCCGGTGGAAGACGCTGTAATGGAACAAATGGTTTTGAACCTAAAATTAATATAATATGCAGATTCAAAAAAGATAAGAAATCAATATGCGGCAACTACTGCTAAAACAATCTTACACAGTTCATAATTGTTATATCATCATATGATTGCAAATTATTTAACAAATACTTTAAAACTGGTGTGAAAACGATGGTATCAACAAATACAAACTTACGCTGTACTGTTACAGAATGTGTTTCATCAGACTGCTGTTGGTTTAACATTGGAGTACTTGCTATAAATGGATTGGGAGTTGTTTTGGACATTGTTGTAGTATCATTTGAATTTTGAAAATTTTGTGATTGATCTATTGTTGGTATATGTGTATGATGATAAGACTGATTATTATTCGCATTTATTCCACTTCTAAAACTAGATACAGTTGAGTGAGAATAATCGAAGCTTCTATTTGGTTGAATCTGTGGATGTGGAACGTTTACAGTGGATGTTGTCGCGGGTAGTTGTTGGTGTTGTCGTTGCTGTTGTGCTGACGACGGTGTTGAACTTTGTATCACTGGTTCTGGAACTAATGTTAATGGTCTGTTCCCTGGTTGTTGTTGTACGGAAGACGGTGAAGCAGTCGATGATGGCCGTGAGGGTAACAATCGTTGACTAAATGAATTCATTAGAGATGGAATATCTGTACGATTATCATTATATTTGGGATTTGATTGTTGTTGAGATGGCTCGGCTGAGTGTTTTGGAGCACCAGAACGACTACTAAAAGAACCAATAGTCATTTTTTGTTCTGCCGTTGTTGATTGCGGGCTTTGAATAGATTTTGCAGACGATTGTGTGTTATTATTCGGTGATGTTTGACAATTTGCTGGTGCAGCTGTTACTTCATATGGTTGTTTAACATTTAATCTTGATTGAGAATCAATAACCGATTGCGTTGAGGAACTAAGCATATTACTTAATGAATTAACAGTAGGTAATAATAACGAATTTTGAACAGAAACAGGTGTGTTTCCCTGAAAAGGGGCTGCTGTATGTAACTGCGAAATATCGGATACAAGATTTTGATGTTTGGATAGCACTGGTTTAGACGAGGTAACATCATCCGCAGTCTATAATAAAAAAATAGTAAAATTTTTTACATCAAGCTTTTATATTAACAACACATACGGGATTTATCTGTTGATCGAGCAAAATAAGATGCTTTGTTGACTCTAAATAGAAAAATAATTCCAGTTGTTAAACGGTCGAACGTATTTACGAGAAATAACATCTTTCGAGGAAATTGTTAGTAAAACGAAGAGAATTTTCTTAAGAAGATTATGTACGAGCTTCAGCCTTGTGAAAACTTTTAGGACTGTTTTCCTTCGTCAGAAGAAAATGCGAAGTTTTAAGTTTAAAGGGGATTTCTGGGTCAAAATGGCTGTTTTTGCACCTGCTTTCCGGAGCATATTCTTAAAAAGGCATACGACAAGAATCCGCAGGGAGGAAGGATAAAAACAACAAAAGCGCTATGGTTGTGAATATATATTTAATAACTTACACTTCTTCTCTTTCTGAAACTATTCGAAGGGGTCGCACAAAAACGGCTTAGAGTGGGACCCGAACCATTGAGACTTTCAGCATGAATTCTATCAAGCGAGAACTTTTACTATTGCGTTACTTGATACTGTTCAACACTTTAGTACTTATCTGCAGTTTTCAATATTTGTGCTGCTTTTCCTTAGTAGCCGTAGAGTACATATACACATCTTTACCTTGTAAATGGTATAAACATTTTTTCACTAATAATTTAATATCAACAGTCGAATGAAAACCATTATTTGATAACGTTGACAACTTCTGTTCATTTTCGTATAAATCAGCATTAAATTGCTAAAAAATTGATAAGGATAAAAGGTAAAAAACTGATAGAATATCTTTCAAATTTGTTTACCTTCTGATCATTTGTGTTAGTTGCTGTTATCGGCATTTCTGTTCTATCTACCGCACGAAATCGTAATGTTTGATTCGACGTTAAATTGTTCAAAATAACAGCAGAAGAAAAATTTTCATCTAAATCAATGTAGTTGTTATCTTTATCATCGAATAGTTGAATATGAAAATTTGTGTCGATATGGAACAGGTTTTTAATCAACTCATTAATTTCGTGTATGCTAGCATTGTTTTCAAGGATGAATTTCTGTCGTCGCGGACCGTAAGAGACGATTGCAACAGCATTCGCCATCTGAAATCAGCCAACACTTTGATAAGCTAGGCTTGAATTACAGCAAAAAGGAGTAAATTTAGATGTTAAAAAACACGCGATGCAAAAGTACATCCGTATTTTCTACAACAAGAACAAAATTGAAGTTTTACTTTAAATAGTTGAGAATCACTGGATTTGTGTACAAATAGTTTCTTTTCATGTACCTAGACTCTTTCTAAATTGGATAATATTTCAGTTACATTCTCTATGTACTTCTCGTTTCGATAGTCAAAAACAGCAAAAACGTATAACCCTTTGAAAATTACAATAGCACAAAAATAAATAATACTGAATTCAGAGTTATGCGAGTATCGGCATAGCCGAATGAAGGAGGAATGAGGACTCAGCCCTCCTTAGCGTTTGAAAAAACAATATTTTTGATTGCATATCTCCGTTTAGAAAATTTTTTGGCTACGCCACTGTACAAATGAATCAAATAATCTAGAACTTCGTAGTTATGGCACATTAACTACACTGTTACATTACATAGAGTCAAAGATTTTTCTAAAAGGAACTTAGTGAGCAAATCACTTGTTTCGTTATGGAACAAGCAGTGCCAGTCTAACTTCTGTTATTAGACATAACGAGCTATTTACAAGTCTTTGTCATTAAAAAACCTGTCAAAGAAGTGCAGTAATACTTTACTACAACAGAAATAGTAAAAATAAGAACTAGCGATGAAATAACTGTATCGATTATGCGTTTGTTATCCGAAAAAGTTAGAAACCGAAAACTATCGAAATGATTAAGTATTTCTGAGAAACACCTGAGTATGAATAGAGAGTACGAGTTTGAATTATATTCAAAATAGTATGAGTAGTACTCGTCCATCTCTAACTAAATCACAGAGAAAGAAAGCCATATTATGGCGGTTTATGCGTTGAACAAACGACTTCATCATAATTTATAGACGACCGTTGCATCTATCATACACGTGACTTTGCTCATATGTGTTTAGATTATAGATTATTTAAAACCTTTACAATCATCGATAAAACGAAAAACGCACCCACAATTGATCGCCACAGTCAGAGACACAACAGAAATAAAAAATAAACGACATAAACAAAAATACACATTTTTTAAATTAGATAACAGTCCGTCATTTTTGTACATACATATAGCCAAGAATAAAAGAAGAAGGTAGTCGTAACTATGATCAAGAAGAACTGCACAAAGACTAGAAAAAAGATAGATTTTGCAATTAATAAAATAATGTAAGAAAAACTAAACAATATTTCATATCAAGTCTATAGCAGAAATTTTCTTTTCTTTATCTATTTGAAAAAATATACTGTCACGTAGTGAACGGCAATAGAAATAAACAAATAATAAAAACCTAGAATTAAGGTTATACCCTTCTATCTAACCTCTAGAATTAACCTTAGATAGAAGGGAGTCATGAGAATGTATTTTGCTGACTACTCCTCAGCGCCAAATTCCACTATTGAAATTGCTTTGTCGAGCATATTGTTACGAGCGCTGTTTTCAGTTCTGTTTACAGTAACGACCACGTGATCATTTTTTATCTTACATATGTTTCGATCTCTTTAATTATATCTGAATTGGGGAACTGTTTAGAAAAAGAAGTGTGGCAAAACCACCGCCGCTATAAAAATTGACTAATTATGATTCAAGCACACTAGTTGTTGAATGTAGATATAATATAGAAATGTGCGCGAAGTTATTATTCTCAATATGAAAACAGTATCTGATAGCGCTGTGGAAACATCGGACAGCTGCAACCACTGACAATAAGTAATTTTTTTTGCGCTATATGAGAAGATTCAACAAAAAAAAGAATCAATGATCAAAGCTATACAGTTGTCTTTGAGACTAGCAAAACAAAACGAGATCTACGAGAAAATTACGTTTAGTCACGGTGTTTTTACTTGTATTATATATATATGTGTCGGCGCAAATATAGTCCGCGGACTGTTCTCAAAATAAACGATCAGCCACTAATTGACGATCAGCTCGGTCTGAAAAACTGAATCGTTTATGCAGTTTTATTAGGAATGAGAATCATAGCCGGAATCGGCTTCGAAAAAACTGAAAGTTATTTTCCACAAAAAAGTTCTTTTCTTCTCTTTTGCTTGTCATTGATTCAGAGCTGAATATCCTTGTCAGAACTCTCGTTGACTCAAGTGTCCACACGACGCTTAGGGGATGCTCTTGATAGTAACAATAATATTGTCCTACTTAAGATAATACTGTTCTTAAATATTTAGAATAGTCAAAGTTATTTAATTGTACTATTCTAAATTTTTTCAGAGTTTACAGATCTTCCTATGTTTACATCAAGCTTTTTCTGAAATTTTAGAGCTCTGAATCGGAAGAACGTTTAGCTCTGATAAAACTATATAGCTGATCCAGCTTTTTGGACCGAGCTGATTGTCGACCAGTATATGTCCAAATTAACTATTTTTCATACTTTTGGGTACAGTTCATTAGCCGAATTTAGAAAATAATTGGCACAATGATATTCATCAAAATGTAAAAGCTAACACTTTGTTTAACGACAAAACGCTCCACTTGCTTCTTTAGGTCCCCACCGTTGTTTGCCCAACCGTTGCAATTTGACTGGTTTTGGCATGACATGTAATATCTAAGTAGGATCATGAAGACAATAGCACACTTATAAACACATCGATAAATAATTTTTGTGCCATCCTTTACAAATTCAGTTCAAAATCTCGATACATTGTTTTATCCAATATATGGATCAAATTCTTCTTTTGATAGAAATATACTAGAAAATTTTCATAATCTCTGAGCTGTGGTAGAGTGTATAAGTTAATACGATGCTTATCACAGTAAAAATGTCTATTTTTGAAGAGAAAAGTGCCACTGTGTCCGTGTCCAAATGGATAAATCCATCTTGTTTCCATTAGCAGTTTATATCAAGGATAGTTCTGTTGTGTTAGACCGGGAGAGTAATGACCATACCAATGGTTTTAGTAAGAAATCAAAATAAATTGACAAATTCTTTCGAGGAAACCATTGTTTTTATATACAAGTGATGGTCGCAAAACAAAAGAGGTGAATTAAAAAATAAGGCGGAAGAACGGCCTGCAGAGTCACACATATCACGGAGAGAAAAATGAAGTTCATTTAGAGCCGCAGGAATATGCTTTTCGTTTTAGCACACTCGATAACCCAGAAGATTTTCTAGTTTTCGCGAGGCGTACTGCCAAAAGTCTAAGAAAACTTTTGAAACTAATATTATTTTCCTATGGAAATATTTTTTCGTTATTTTGTTCAAAATTTTCTTAAACCTTTGACAATACTCCTCGCGGGAAAATAAGAAATCTTCTGAATAATGGAGTGTGCCAAAGACGAAAGAATACTTTTCCGCAACTCTAAATAAACTTTATTTTTTTTCTTCACGTTGATAGGAACGTCTTCAAATAAGAAGCATGCAATAATAAGATGGATGCATTTTTAAGGTGCATAAAACACCTGTTCCAGGATAAATGTTGCTCCGAAATCCACTCTTATTATTACCGGGACAGTTAAGTCGTTTTTTTACAATATTTGATTTAAGGCTCTTATGAACAAATTGAGACTAGCCTAGATATAAACAGGAACAGAATTTTCTAATCCCGTTCTCGTGATCTCGTAAAAGAATCATTTTTGTTTTTTGACTGGACCTCTTCAGTAATAGAAAATAATAGATAGATCTTTTAGTGGCAGTAAACTTAAAGATAAATATGGGTTGCTGCAGTCTGTGAAAATCCAACTCATGTAGACGCAATTTTACAATGGTTTACTCTGTATTCCGTTTTACAAGATATACAAAACATTACATCAATTCTCGAAAAATCCGTAGATCTGCATTTGTATATGTATAATACGGTCAAAAGAACCGAAGTTATAAAATGTAAAACAAATTCGTTTTTTTGCTGACAGGAAGCTTTCAGACCCCAATTTTTTCGTTTGTTTTCGATGGCAAACGTGTCAAAGAGCCACGAGCAGCACTGCCTATCACTTAGTTTTCCGAAATTTTGATAGGAGTTTTTTGGCGACTCTCGATTTTGAAAAACATTTTTTCATCTAAATATTTTTTACTATATCTGTTAGATGTAGCTTTTCGCACCGATTCCAAATATTACCTTTGAAGTTGAAAAAAGTTGGGTTTTGATGAAGAAAATTCGATTTTACTTAGTCGGGATGACCACCAGACATTTTTCCACTTTTGTCCTAGCGTTATGGCATAACATCGATTGAAAAATTTTTGAATTAATGGAAAACGTGCAGAAAAATATGTGCTGTCTGCATATAAGCTTAAATTTACCGGAAAATTTTTTTCGTTTAGTTTTACAAGCCGAGGATTTCGAAATATGACTCGGGTTTTTGAGGTTTTTCGTCTACCACTTCACGAAGGTATCGTGAGTCAATAAAAGTGTTTTGCCATATATACAGCTTTTTATGCTTTATTGATTGGACAAATCAAAAGTTCGAAAACAAAGTGTTTAACATGGCGAGAATTGAATAATACGAGGATTTCTACATATTTTACGAGAGTTTTGGTCTATTTATGTTACAATTACTGTTCCTATGGAAGAAATCAACATTTTTCAGGACAAATTAGAGCCGTTGATGTCATATTGTGCAGGATTGTTGCTAAGTTTCTTACCCGTTACTCTTCCTCACCACGTAGAGGTAACCATATGAGGAAGTTCCCTAAAAAGCGAGCTCAAACACTCAGACATACATAACAAACGAACAATTTAAACCGACATTTTTTCTTGATTACTTCGTTAGGTTTTCCTACTTTTTATTATATTCTGTTAATTGCTTGATTTCACCTGTATAAATGGATGATTGGCGATCCATTGGTCTTCATAGATGAATAGAATGCCCACCAAGATGTAACTCGATGTCACAAATCATGGAAAATTTCCTCATCGTCATCGCATGGAAATCAAGAAATTAACAGA